ACCCCTCCCACCCCCCCCCCCCCCCCCCCCCCCCCGCGCGCGCGCCTTTCTCTAACATCACTCCTGTCCTGAAACAGCGAAACAGCAGCCGACACCATGAAAGCAAGCCAATTCATAAACAGTAAATGTAATTGGGGGCAGGCAAACCATGCAAGTAATCAATCGGAATTGGTCTCAGTGGAGCTCGCTTTTTGCCTGTATATTTTGAACCCCCCCGCCCCCCGTCTCCTTCCGCCGCCCCAACTCCTCCTCCTCTCACCGTACACCAGAAACTCCCACCTCTATATTCGGAACCGAGGTTCAACCAAGTGAGAGCCCACACATGCCGACCCGCACCAAAAATCTTTGCAGCGCAAAATGCAGTGCAAGCAACAGAGTCCTTGTCAAGTAAACAAACCCCCCAAAAATACACACGCACACGCACACCTGGTTTCGGCTGGCTGCATGGTAGCTGCAGGCCAGGCAGCCGGGAATGGTAAAACCTAATGATGATAAAGCACCGAAATCGACTACTTTTGTTGTAATTTCGAGTGGTCTGCCACCATCACTCACCCCGAGAGGTCACATCTTCAGACCTCAACATAACCCTATACATTTACTTCTGATGATTATTATCAAAGACACGACACCAACAACAAGACGCAAGGGACGCGTTGAATGCACCAGGCGGGATCCGTACCGTTCAAGCGTATAGGGAAAGGAAGGACATGGAAGGAAAGGCGACCGCGTAATACCCCCCCGAACCGAAAAACCCAACACCATTACTTTTGCCGGAGAGGGCAAGCGACCGATACAAAAGGGAAGAGCTTGAGATGACCGCTGGCTTGCTGCGCTTCTTCGTGCAGAGAACCAAGACAAACAACGCCCACCCCCCGGAGGAGAGAAAGACATCCACCATTGCATGCATGCATGCTGGCACGTCAAGTCGGTGCTAGCAAAGGGTCTTGTGACAGACATGCACCCTACAGCAGCGCCTCACGTATGATACAGCGGGATGGCTACAGACACAAGGACGAGAAGCGTCAAGCCAAGCAAGCAAAAACAGACCAACGGTCCATAGCGCGCCATTCGAGAGACTCGACAATCACGCAACAGATTTGCTTACAACCTCCATATGCGCCACAATTCTGGCGCTACCTACCGATGTCTTACACGTGCCCTTTTTTAATTAATCAGGTTCACTTTTTTTTTTCACCCCACAAACCTTCCAACCAAAATCCAAGTCAACCCGACCTCACCGCAACCGTACCAAAATACAACGCGATAGGAGACCAAAACTACCAAAACCACCGTTGCCTGCCCACGAGCAACACCACCCGCCCCCCTCAGCAGCAACGAATCCGTCACCCTATCCCTCGAGTTGCGCCAACCAGCCACAGGCAGCGGCCACCAAACGGCTCAAGGAACCGCCGCGTTCAACCGTGCACTTGGCCTGCTTTCAAGCTACCACCTGCACTAATTCAACCAACCCGACCGGAGGCGTGCCAAGCAGGGGACAGCGGGCACCACAGGGACACATGCAAGGGTAAAGGGTAACTAAACACGCAGAGAGAAACAACTTAGATCGTGTGGTGTGATGGAAATGATATGGTAAGATCAAGACATCGGAGAGCACGCACAAAAGCCAGTTCGGCACACTCCACTTTTCACGCCACACCACTGTAGCTCTCTCCGAAAACGAAAAAAATTGACAACGACATCGCCGCGGATGAGAAGATATCTGGCCGGGGTGCGCTGGCTTACAAAATTACCACCACCACCGCTGG